TGCGCCTGGCTCGCCCTTGGCAGGTGTGGGATCCGGGCGGTAGCTCGAGCTCAGAGGGCCAAGCGGGTGGAGTGAGCCCAGTGGCGCGAGCAATACTTAGGCAGAAGGCGCCTCTGGTCGCAGAGGTTTGCAGCTGGCGAAGCACACTCAAAGGATCCCATGACAAGAGGACTGATAGTATTTGACTTTAAGACATATTATAAAGCTTAATGATCAACAGAGTGTGATATTAGTGAAAAAAGAGAGAAACAGATAAATGGAATAGAATAGAGAGTCCAGAAATAGACCCACATGCATACAGAGGGTCCCTGACTAATGATGGTTCAATCTATGATTTTTAAATTTTGTGATGATGCAAAACTGACACGCATTAGTAGCATATAGCAGTCTCCCTTTATCTGCAGGGAAGACATTCCAAGACCTCCAGTGGTTACCTGAAACCAAGGCTAGTAAAACCCTATATATACTCTGTTTTTTCATATACATATATGTCTATAATAAAGTTTAATTTATAAATTAGGCACAGTCAGAGATAAACAACAATAATAATAAAATAGAACAATTGTAACAATATACTATAATAAAAGTTATATGAATATGGTCTCTCTCTCTCTTTTTCCCCCTCTCTCAAAACATCTTATTGTACTATACTGTGGGTATAGAAACCACAGAAAGCAAAAGCACAGATAAAGGGAGATTGCTGTACAAACATTCAGTTTTTCACTTTCAATACACTATTCAACAAATTAAAAGAGATACTCAAGACTTCATTCTATGAAATGGACTTTTTTAAAAAATAATTTTGCCCAACCATAGGCTAATGAAAGTGTTCTGAGCATGTTTAAGGTAGGTTAGGCTAAGCTATGATGTTTGATAAGTTAAAGAAATGCATTTTTCACATACAATATTTTCAATTTACAATGGGTTTAACTCCATCATGAGTCAAGAAGCATCTGTATAGTCAACTGATGTTTGAGAAAGGAGCAAAGGCAATACAATGGAGCAGAGGTAGTCTTTTCAACAAATGAGACTAGAAAACTGAAATCTAGACGCAAAAAAAATGAATCTTGACCCAGACCTTACACCCTTCACAAAAATTAACTTGAAATGGCTCATAGACCTTAATGTAGAATATAAAGGTATGAAACTCTCAGAAGATAACATAGGAGAAAACATATAGTCTTGGATTTGCTGATAACTATTTACTTAAGTTTAAAAATTGTGTTTTTTAGAGAGATGGGGTCTTGCTATGTTGCCCAGGCTAGTCTCAAACTCCTGGGCTCAAGTGATCCTCCTGTTTCAGCCTCCCAAAGTGCTGGGATTACAGGCATGAGCTACCACATACAGCCATGGTAATGACTTTTTAGCTACAACACCAAAGGCATGACCCTTTTATGAAAGAATTTATGAATCGGACTTTGTTAAAACTAAATACTTCTGTTCTTCAAAAGACACTGTGAAGAGAATGGAAAGACAAACCAGACTGAGAAAATATTTGCAAAAGACTTAGGATGAAGGGTATCAAGCTATCATCCAAAATATACAAACAACTTGTAAAACTCAACAGTAAGAAAATGAACAACCCAGATAAAAAATGAACAAAAGTAGGCATAGTGGCTCACACCTGTAGTCCCAGCTACTTGGATGGCTGAGGTGGGACAATCACTTGAACCCAGAAACTCGAGTCTATAGTGAACTATGATCGTGCACTCCCACCTGGGTGACAGAGCATGACCCCATCTCCAAAAAAATAAAAATAAAAATAAATTTAATAGACAAAACACTGGAACATACATCTCACCAAAGAGATGTACTGATGGCAAATAAGCGTCTGAAAAGATGCTTAACATTGTATATTACTAGAGATTTACCAATTAAAACAATGAGATACTACTATATACCTGTTAGAATGTGAAAAGTCCAAAACACTGATGATAAAACCAAATACCTGAGAGGACATGGGACAACGAGAACTCTCATTTGTTGCTGGTAGGAGCACAAAATGGTACAGCTACTGTGGAAGACAATTGGGCAGTTTGTTACTAAACTAAGCATGATCTAACTGTGTCATCTAGCAATTGTACTCCTTGGTATTTACCCAAAGGAGTTGAAAGCTTATGTCCCCACAGAAACCTACACACGGATGTTTCTAGTGACTTTATTCATAATTACCAAAACTTGGGAGCAACCAAGATATCTTTCAGTAGGTGAATGGATAAATAAACTGTGATACATCCAGATAATGAAATGTTATCCAGCTCTAAAAAGAAATGAGCTAACAAGCCATGAAAAGACATGGAGGAAATTTAAATGCATATTTCTAAGTTATTTGATTCAGGGCAGAGGACTACACAAGGCTGTGAACATTGGGAAGTTAGGGTCACTGTGGGCCTTCTTAAAGGCTGGCTACCATGCAAAGTTTTTCACCTTTATCAGAAGAAAGTAGTTCTTGGTATTTATCTGTGATTCTTTAAATATGCCATATCAAAAATCATCCCTCTTTACAGTCCTAAAGTTTTTGATGTGTGATACTCTCTTTCTCTCTCTCTTGGCCCTCAGAAGTCAAATGATGAGGTGCTGTGACCACCAGAATGAATGCTAAATAAGCCACATAATAGATGACCGCTAGACTTGTCTATCCCACAGGGTCACTGGATGGTCCAGGGAGGTTGAATGCGTTTTTCAAATCCAAGTAAATAAATGTGGAGGATGATGTTAATGACAAAATTTTCCTTACACTTCTTATGCTGGGAGAACTCCTACTCATCTCTTACTAGTCATTCATTCAGCACCAGTGTTAACCTCTGTTAGGTTGACCATACTCTTTGATAATTATTTACTTATATGTCTGTCTCTCAGTTCTCCAATAACACATTCCTTCAAGTGAGGGCTCCTCCAGAGCTAGAATCCATATGTATCCTATAGTCCTCAAGGCACAAAGTAGGCATCAGGAGACTAGACTTGCTAAATCAAAGAAGGATAAACTATCAGTGATTCTCAGAATAGACATCCTCCCTCCAATTTTCAGCCTTTTCTAAACCTTTGGAAATCATTATTGGAAATGCATCAGCCAAATCCCAGGGAGTTCTGCAGGGGTGAAGGGAGGAAATGTACCACCAGATTATGTTCTTTAAAAAATATATCTCCTAACGACTGGAAAACAGCACCAGGCATTATTTTATTTACGGAACTCAAATCAAATCACCAAGAGGCAAAGACCTAAGTAGCAGGAAGTTCAGCAGATAATTGCCTAATCAGAGCTGTCTTCTCATCCTATTTGATTCTAGGGTTAAAGAAAATCTGTGTTGTGCAATCCATTTATAATCTAAACACATACATGACTTTCTCCCCCCGAAACACCAATGCTCCCAGCTTAACTGATGCTGAAAACTCTGCCTATATTGTAGGGGAAAAGAGCTGAAGTCCAGTGGATATAGCTAGTGGAAGAGTGCAGGAGACATAAATTGAGAGATAGCAAAGACAGAACAAAAGTTACTTGGAGGAACAAGAGATCTTCTGGAGAAGGTGTCCAAGTGGTTTCTTAGGATGCTCCACTTATGGGTCTTCTGGGTGAGCCTTTTGGATACTAATAGCTACCATTTATTGAGCCATTGCCATATGCCAGATGTTGTGGTAAGCATTTTTAGTGCATTATCTCATTTTAATTCTCAGAACAACCTTGCAAGTTCAGTATTGGTACCCCCATTCATAGATGAAACTGAAGGTCAGAAGATTGTAGTGATTTGCCCATTGCCATAGAGTTAAGAGCTACAAAAGCCATGAATCCCTGCAGATTAGATTTGACTCAAAGCTTCTGCCCTGGGTCGTTAACTATCCTCACAAAACCACTTTTCTTTTCTTTTCTTTTTTTTTTTTTTTTTTTTTTTTTGAGATGGAGTTTTGCTTTTGTCACCCAGGCTGGAGTGTAATGGCACTGTCTCGGATCACTGCAACCTCCACCTCCCAGGTTCAAGCGATTCTCCTGCCTCAGCCTCCTGAGTAGCTGGGATTACAGGCACGCAGCACCACGCCTAGGTAATTTTTACATTTTTAGTACAGACAGGGTCTTGAATTCCCGACCTCAGGTGATCCACCCGCCTCAGCCTCCCAAAGTGCTGGGATTACAGCGTGAGCCACGACGCCCGGCCCACTAAACCATTTTTGAGGCAGCTAGTAAGTATTTCCTCCATTCTACAGATGAGGAGACTGAAGCCCAGGGATGACTTAACTTGCCCAAGTGACACAGAGAGTAGCAGAGCCAAACCAGGTTTCCAACTCCAAAATCTCTTCTGCTTTAAAGATAGAAGAAGAGCAACCGCGAAGAGTGAGAACGTGCCAGAAGGCCCCTGCAGGCCAGGCACTGCCCTCTCCTAGGACACAGCTCCGACCCACCCCTAACCTCCACAATTAAGCCACTTTCAAGAATTTTCTTTTCTCTACCTCTGCCCCAGTGTGGCCCCTGAACTGAACAGGGACTGGGTGGTTCTTGGGAGAGTCTAAAAGATACCTTCGCAAAGATTCCCTAGGAAGGGAACAGCCAGGGCACCACCAGCCCTGGTGCTCCCATTCCCACACATCTGAGCAAGTCCCGTGCATAAGACTGGCAAGTGCTTGAACCAGGAGGCAACCAAACTGGGCTCAAACACAGCCCGCCGGTTTTGACCAATACCAGCAGCTCCCCTTTTCAAAGCATCTATTCAGCGACAGACATTTCACTAGGAGTTTCCTCCATGTTTTAAAATTTAATAGCTCCCCCTCCACCAACGATTGGCCCTATTTTACAAAAGAGGAGCCTCCGACTCTTGGGGATGAAGCGACAAGCCCAAGGACAGAAAGTCCTCACGAGCTTGGGACTTGAACCCACTATGGCCCCAGATTCTGCTGTTGCCCGGGAGGAGAGGAGGGAGGAGCTGCCAGTGCGGAGGGAGGTGGGGAGAGAGGGCAAGCTCCCAGCAGCGCGAGCTGACGACAGCAGGTGTTTTTTTTTTCCCAGCACTTTTTCAGTCAGCATCGTTCCTGGATTTTTTTTTTTTCTCCCTGCTGAGCGGCGTAAAAGGGTGGGGCCGCTTTCCTGCAGCAGAGGCAGAGGCGGCGGCGGCAGCTGCTGCAGCATCTTTCACCGGCAGCGGCAGAGACCGAGAGCTGCAGAAAAGGGTGGGGTCGCTTCCCAGGAGAGGAGGCAGTGGCGGCGGCGGCTGCGGCATCCTCGCGGGCAGCGGCGGAGGCAGCAATGCTCGGTCTTCGCTGGAGGTGATGGCCTCCCAGTCCTAATAGGTGGCCGGCTGCACTAGGACGCCGGCAGGAAGGAGACTCGAGCCCGGTTCGCGAACCCTGCGGCCACACCGCCCGGCCCCTCCTCTGCGCCATGGCTTAAGCCTGCAGCCACCTCTCCTCACGTCGCCGCGCTCGACCGAGGTCTGTGCGCCGCCGCAGCCGCAGGGAGGGGCGCGTCCCAGACACCCTCGCCGGGGACTCGGGAACGCCGTGCCTCTCGCCCTTCGGCGCCTGCAGCAGACTGCGCTCCCAAAGGCGTTTGCAACCGGTAATTGAGGGACTCTACAGACTCTCTTAGGATAGCTCTCCCTGGGTGCTCGCTGAGGGAGGAGGGCGAACTAGCTCCGGCTGATCGGGGGTAGAAAACGGTGGGAACCACATTGGCTGGTCAGGATCGGAGGCTGAAGGAAGATTAGAGACTTTCTTTAGAACCTCAAGAAGAAAGAGGGGGCCGGCTTTTCAGCTAGCATCATGGCGTGGCCGTGCATCACGAGGGCCTGCTGCATCGCCCGCTTCTGGAACCAGTTGGACAAAGCGGACATCGCAGTGCCGCTGGTTTTCACCAAGTACTCGGAGGCCACCGAGCACCCGGGCGCCCCGCCGCAGCCACCGCCGCCGCAGCAGCAGCAGGCGCAGCCTGCACTCGCGCCCCCCTCGGCGCGCGCGGTTGCCATAGAGACGCAGCCAGCCCAGGGCGAGTTGGATGCAGTTGCCCGGGCAACGGGGCCAGCGCCTGGGCCTAGCGGTGAGCGTGAGCCGGCGGCTGGCCCCGGCCGGGGCGGGCCGGGCCCGGGCTTGGGCTCCGGCTCCACCTCCGGCCCCGCGGACTCGGTGATGCGGCAGGACTACCGCGCCTGGAAGGTGCAGCGGCCCGAGCCCAGCTGCCGGCCGCGCAGCGAGTACCAGCCCTCCGACGCGCCCTTCGAGCGCGAGACCCAGTACCAGAAGGACTTCCGCGCCTGGCCACTGCCGCGCCGCGGAGACCACCCGTGGATCCCCAAGCCAGTGCAGATCCCTGCGGCCTCCCAGGCGTCGGCGCCCATCCTCGGGGCGCCCAAGCGCCGGCCGCAGAGCCAGGAGCGCTGGCCAGTGCAGGCCGCCGCTGAGGCCCGGGAGCAGGAGGCGGCCCCGGGCGGAGCTGGCGGCCTGGCGGCCGGAAAGGCGTCCGGAGCGGACGAGCGCGACACGCGCAGGAAGGCCGGGCCTGCCTGGATGGTGCGCCGCGCCGAGGGCCTGGGGCACGAGCAGACGCCGCTGCCCGCGGCCCAGACCCAGGTCCAGGCCACCGGCCCCGAGGTTGGCAGGGGGCGCGCCGCGGCGGACGCCCTCAACCGGCAAATCCGCGAGGAGGTGGCGAGTGCAGTGAGCAGCTCCTACAGGTGAGACGCGGCCGCTGCTAGCGCGGGGGAGTCGCCGCGCAGACGATCCCCAACGCAGGCCTAGCGTGCAGCCTGCCTCCAGTCCCAGGCCACACCCTCTCCCCAGCCGCCTCCCAGGCCACCTCCCGTCGAAGCCTTCTCTTCTGCCCTGTCCTGTGCGCAAGCTGTTAGTATTTTCCATCTCAGCCTGCCTGGCTCTTTCACTTTACAGCTGTAGCGGTTTTCTCCATCTCGCCCACCTCAGATCCCTGCCTGCCCACAGAGACCCTTTGCAATGTCAGCAGTGGCTGTGCTTCCGTCCTGCCCCCACCCAGCTCACCTGCTATGTTAGCCTGGATGCTGCCCTTTGCCGTCCGACAGGGTCCCCATTCTTCTAGAAGAAGAATTCTTTCCAAGTGGCCTCTCGCCCTCCTCCCTAGCCCAGTTCCCTTGGCCCTTCATTCTTTCCTCCCTCTCTCAGTCTCTGGGCAACACCCAAGCACCATACCTTTTTCTAGATTACCCACAGGATCTTTACAAATCACCCTCCTCCTTCCACTGCTGGAACTTTGAAGTCATTGTCCTTCTACTTCTTACTAGCTGTGACTTTTATTGATTTGATATTAAATATTTTATTTTTATTTAATTAATATTAAATATTCAACATATTTTTGAGTGCCTACTATATGCCAGGCACTGTGATGGACATTGTGAGGATTAAATGAGATGATTCAGGAGAACAGCTTGTGCCTAGCACATAGTGGTAATTAGTACATCTTGATTCCATTCCTACCTTCCACGTGATGCCTTATGATCCTAGATGCCTCCAGCCTTCTCTGCTATTGAGGCATCTTCTTTCTCCTTTCCCTACATGTTCTCCAGATGTCTCTCATTCTCTTGCCATCAGGAAGCCCTTTCTCCATCTCACTCAATTCTTTGCAGATGAATGCTTTCAAGCATGCAATCTCTCTCTCTCTCTCTCTCTCTCTCTCTCTTTCTCTCTTTCTCTCTCTTTCCTTCTGGAATTTTCCCTCTGCTACAGCCTCAGCCATTCCAGTCTGCCTTCTTGCCCTTCATCCATCCTGTATATACTTCTGACAGCTTAGCTTTCAATTCTGCCCTTATGTTTCAACCAACAATTAGCTAACAGAACACGGTTGACTCTGGACATGTAACATTGCATTTGGGGTTTCTCGAGGAAGATGTGTATGAATAGTAATTGAGCTAGAGGTGTTCAAAATGCAGCTTATGGGGTCCTTCATCAATGTCACAGCTTTCTGCTGCCTTCTTCCTGCAAGAGGGTGTGGTGGGGGAGGACTAGAGAGTTAGTCTTTTGCCAATACTCTGTATGTAGCCTCATGTTAGACTAATGTCCTTCTCCACTGAACATTACCAATACTCTCTCATAGGCTGAGGAAAGAATGGCATATCCAGACATCCTTCATGTTAAGAGAAAATCTGTCCCCCAACTCCTACCCCTGCATTTCTCATCTTCCTGAATTCCACCTCCCACTTGGCATCTCTCTCTTGGTTTATTGCTGTCACAACAGCCACACTGGGAACCCAGGAGTACAGCACTTCCTTTGAGCTCTTGGTCAAACAAGGACATACATCCTTTTCCTTGAATAGCCATGAGATGGTAGAATGTTCACTATCAAGCAGGGAGCAAAAGAAAAGAGGGGAAATAAACAAGAGACATAAAAAAACAAAGGCAGGATGTAGTTTTCTGGTTCTGCTATGGCTTTCTTGCTTCAAGACCCTACTTCATTTCTTGATCTTCCTACCCTGAGAAGCCCACGTCTGGCCCAACATCATAGATTACTGGCCTGGCCTCTTCATCTTCCCACTCTCATTCTAGCACCCTGTGGCAGGTGGAACCTTACTACCCACTAGCAGGAGCTGTCTCTTCTCACCACCATACAGTCAATGCCAATCAAGAGAGATTCCAGATTCTTAAGCCTCTTTGGGTGATCCTGTTCAGTTTATGATTTCAAGTTGGCAGGACTTGCTTTGTTTATGGATGAGTGACCTGTCACTCAAGGAATGACCACATCCTTTGGATATAATGCACTCCAGATTTGGGGTTGTACTTTGTTCCGTATAGCCTTTTTCCTCAAAACAACAGCTTAACTGTGCAGTAAGCATGTCATGCTTCACGTTACACACATATTGGAAATGACTGGATTTGGTGGGGGAAGGCTATGCCCTCAGAGCTGGTGAGAATGATTATTTTTAGCACTTATCAATTCTATTAACCTGTCAAAAAAATCTTTTAACACCTCAAAAAAATTTTTAAATTTAGGTCTTTTGTAAAATTTAATTATACCTATGACTTAGGGGTCAGGAGTACTATTTTGCTATATAATCAGAAGGGTTTTGAAATATTAAGGGAATGATTATTGTTAAGAAATATCAATTTCTTTAATGAACAATTTAAGTGCATGACAAATTTGATGTGAAATTTAATGGTTTTTTTGTTCCAGAATAAAAATGAACAAATAATTGAGAAATTCACTTTGATTAAAAGTAGATATAAAGAAATAAGATATTCAGTACATTAAATACACAATAAAGAAAAAATCATTGGCAATTATAAGCTTATCTAGAACATTGATTTTCCTTCCCTATTGTCTCGCATTCTTTTCCTTGCTATGATTCTAGGATATCTTCTGAATTTAAGTACCGTGTCCACTGTAGATGGGCCTTATGTCACCTTAGAAGCCAAGCTGTGCTCCACTTCAATGATAATTTGATTTACAAACCCTTTTCTTCTGCCATTCTACATAAATTATGGTGTGTTTACACCATGGTGACTGGTTCATCTCGTGGACTTTACAAATGACATCTGCCGCATGACATCAATATGAACAGTCTGCTTAAACAGAAAGGGACATACAGTCCATCATGTAAAATATACATTTAAAATTCAGAGTAATATGCGTGCTCATTGTTTTACTTTACAATTTACAGTCATAAATAACATTACATACCCTTTGACGTTGTGGTTTTGAGAAACCTTCCCTATTCAATAACTCATCTAATTCCCAATCCATTCGTATCAGCCTGAGATTTTTGCATTCAAGTAGTATCCAAGATAGCTTTAGGGTTATTCACAAACATGAGTTTGATTAATTTTTAATACATTCATTTTACATAGATGATGTTATAAAACTGAGAAGCATGTCTTTTTTTTTTTGAGCTGGAGTCTCGCTCTGTCGCCCAGGCCCCAGGCTGGAGTGCAGTGACCAGATCTCAGCTCACTGCAAGCTCCGCCTCCTGGGTTCACGCCATTCTCCTGCCTCAGCCTCCCGAGTAGCTGGGACTACAGGTGCCCACCACCTCGCCCGGCTAGTTTTTTGTATTTTTTAGCAGAGACAGGGTTTCACCATGTTAGCCAGGATAGTCTCGATCTCCTGACCTCGTGATCCGCCCGTCTCGGCCTCCCAAAGTGCTGGGATTACAGGCTTGAGCCACCGCGCCCAGCCGAAGCATGTCTTTATTGCCATTTTTAATGTTAAAGATGGATTTCACTGGGAAGCCATTTGTGACTTTAGACCTGACGTTCTCAATTAGAAAATAGATGAGTCATAAGGAGGTGATTAAAATTCCTCTCCCAGACAACCCCATTGCCCTGGCCATCAGATAATAGGGGTAGATAGGGTAGCAGCTGCTCCCTATAGACATGCTAATGAGAAACTTTTCCTAGAAGAAACCAGCTGAGGCACTAGGAGGTAGAATTAATAAACCAGGGTGAAATACTTGAAAAATAAGAGCAGTAACAAGGAAGTTAGAAAGAAAAGGAGTCTTTAATGTCTGCCCTCCAGCCTTGCATGAAGGTTACAGGAAGGCCCATCTGACTGACTTTATGCTATGCAGAACTGCCCCATTCCCCAATTTCCCATTTCCCTAATTTCCTCTTGGGTCAATCCCAGCAATGCCTCAAGGCCAATCTTGGATACGGAATTTACAGCGATGCCTTCCTAGATCCAGCCATTCTGAATGAATTTTTCTTCTATTCCCTTTTTACTTTCTGAACTCTTATCATTGTCTGCTTGATTGTAAAATACTTTTGTCTATATCTGTCTCCCCCACCAGGTCATGAACACCTGAAGAGAAGGCTATATTTTGTTCACTCTGTACCTCTCACAGCCTAGGTGCTATATAGATTTGTTGAATCTAATGGAATTTTTAGGGCTTGGTGAAAATTTTATTTATCTACATATTGATAGAGTCAATTTCATTTAGTTGAATTTTTTTCAGAAAATGATCACCAAACCCCTGCCATGTACCAGATAAGGAGCTGGGGATACAAAATAAATGAGTCATAATTTTAATGTAAGAAAATTGTGTCTTCCTCAATCAAGTTAAAGTCCAAATCCTGGTCAAGCGCGGTGACTCACGCCTGTAATCCTAGCACTTCGGGAGGCTGGGCGGGGGAGGGCAGATCATGAGGTCAGGAGTTCGAGACAAGCCTGACCAACATGGTGAAACCCCATCTCTACTAAAAATACAAAAAATTAGCTGGGCATGGTGGCGTGCGCCTGTAATCCCAGCTACTCAGGAGGCTGAGGCAGGAGAATCGCTTGAACCTGGAAGGCGGAAGTTGCGGTGAGCCAAGATCGTGCCACTGCACTCCAGCCTGGGCGACAGAGCGAGAGTCCGTCTCAAAAAAAAAAAAAAAAGTACAGATCCTACCAGGTTAGCACTAAAAGTAAATGTTCAAATGGAGAAGGGCAGCAAACTTTACAGACGTGACTCTACATGGGCTTTCACCTAGGGCAGTGGTCCTCAACCTTGGCTACACATTGGAATCAGTGGAGAACTTTCAAAAGATGCATAGGGGCCTTGCCCAGAAAATCTGATTTCATTGGTCTGGGGTGTAGCCTGCGCAACCAAGTTTTTAAAAACTATCTCAAGTGATTCTAATGTGCAACTCACGTTATGATCTACTTTTATAAGGCATGGTTCTCAAAATATAGTACACAAAAGAATCACCTAGAGAGCTTTCTGAAATGCAGATT